GCACCGCCACTGCCTGCCCCCCCCATTGTCCATTTTTTTCATCAATTTTGTGTCGATCTCATTTCCATTATGCGAGATTTCTTTTACTTTTTTCCGTGTTGGGACAAAGTACGGGTTTGGGCCCCTCCCTTTACCTCGAATCCGTACAATACAAGAAACTAGTTAAAGGAACAGATGGTGGAATAGAGGTGAACACACCAACAGAACAATAAGTGGGACCATTAAACTAAATCTAAAATATACAGGGTGTTCCTAAATAAGGAAGGGACTAATTCCTTGGATTATTTACCAAAAGTTCATATTAACATAGGTCCGCAAACGCCTCGTTACTTGATATACAGTGTTAAAATTTCAAAATATTTTAAGGTTTTTCATTATATCTTCTGCAGTTTTGCTCAAATTTGGAATATAAGTTAAGCGGAAGGATTTACATCATGGGTCTACAGGGTATTGCATTTTCATGGGTCATGTTCAATTTTCTACCCCTGAACTTTTTTTGGGGCGCCGCTGATAGTTCGTAAAATAACAATGTTTGGAAACTTTTTGGTCACTTTAATACCCTGTACATGTACCATATTGAGCATGTGTAAGAATGAATGTATACACTGCGTACATCAATCTAAACATATTAAACAAATCCTTTTAAAGTATTAATATAATATGGGCGTTAAAGGTGCAATTCAATTACAACACAAAATGAAATAGTAACGATCAGGTAAATGTTAAATATGATGCACACTAAAACGTAGATGTTCAACCCCTCGGCATATCCTCATACCTTAAGTTTTAAATTGGTATAAATAAACAAAGGAAATCCTTTCAGCTGTGCACCAATTAGCGTTTCCTCACTGGGATTAATAAACCCAATCACTCCCACCATATATTCCCGACAATATTTATCTAAAAGCTCCCTGTTCCAGTTATCCATTTGCAGATACTTATTGAAATTCTCGAAAACAATAACTCCATATCTTCCTTTATCCAGATTAGTTAGAACGGGCAAGCTTTTACCGGAGACTTCAACTTTGTACCTACGAAATACAACTACAGACAAACCTCTCGAAATTAGCACTTACTTAATCCTAGTGTACACCAAAAGCTCGGCAATTTCCCGTCCAAGTTTCGAATACATCGTCTCCACAAAGACAAGGACCTTGGGGTCACTCCGTAACCGCGCTTCCGTCTTATGATCATGATTCTGAGGCAAACGTGGTCCATTCATAATACTGCACTTAATATTTGGTTCAGGTCTAGTGTTTCGATGTATCAAACTGAAAAGCAAAGCGATCTTGACCGACCCCACAGAACCACACCGACCTACCTAGTTAATGGCGAGTTAAACGTATAATGCGAAAAATATATAATCGATAAAATACATAGTACGGTTATAGCTAGAACACATCTTCTAAGACTAAGGGGTCGCAAAATCCAACACGGTTTTCGTACGGAATTCGTATAAAATCTCCTATTAATGTTAGAATGAAATCGTCTTCCTAAATTAGGCTCAAACCGTTTATCTTTCGCTTCCAAGAGTGGCGCAAGATCGGCCATAATTTACTTACTAGAGGAAACTATATAACAATTGACTTTGGTTATTGAAAGGGTACGTTTGGTAGATCTGCAAATCGAAGGGGTTTTATTAAGTCACTGGTGATGTAACACTTACCCGTAAGGTACTGAAGTATGCTACGAAATTGAGACGGCGCAAATGACACTGGGTAAATGGCACTCAAAACACTCGATATTGTGGAATGTGTAGATAAACTATTAAAGTTCGCGGTATGAATCACTACCTTCGGTGCACTTTAAACGTTCTCCATTTGCTATGTTTTCTTTCGAAGTTATACAATACGGCAAAGCTTGCCAGCTGCTTGTGGTGTTTCGTAAGTATAATCATAATGCTTGCCTTCAGCTGTTGGAGTTTGACATGATAAAGACATCACCATTGGTTATGTATTCGACAAACTGCTCAAGAAGGACCTGAAACATAAGTGGCACATGTTCCCAATTAGAATTTATGGTGTTGACAAAATACACAATATAAGGCAATTGAATTACGCTAATACCTTGGAAATAAATTATCCTTGTATTTCTAATTTATCCATTTTTCTTTGTTTATAAATTATGTTGGTTTATTTGACATTTGTAATAAATATGCCAAACATTAATTTTTATTTTAATTGTGACCAACATAAGCAAGTGAATAGCAGATGCTGCCAACTGCATGTAAAAAAAATGATATACAGTATACTCAAAAAGTCACTTGCTAGCGGATTGTTCCAACTACCCTTCCAGGAGGGGTTGTATTTTCTAAGCACAACCAATCGAAGATTATGTGTACAGTATAAGAATGGGGTCAAAAAGTTTGTGGACTACCAGCGATCTCTTCTTAGCTGCAAATTTAGAAATAAGACTGTAAATAAGAGTTAGGAAAGCTCTTAGTAGGAAATGGAAATTGAAAGAATTGGACAAAGATGAAAATTGATGTAAAATAAAAGCGTGGTGCGGAACACCAAGGTCAGAAGAAATTGTGGAGGAACATTGGAAGAGGATCAGCAAGGGGTCAAGAATAAAGAAACCTTCACACAGCAATCACATATACCGAATGTCATGTTATTCGTGCTATCTACGTCAGGACACTAATTGTGCCAGTCAACTAAACTAACGTTAATTGCAGAAGGTTAACTTCTGTTCTGCATCAAATATCTTTATTTCTTCAATTATTTGAACTTACAGGCTTCCATATAAATCCCACCCTACAAAATTTAATAAAAAATTAGCGCTTCGTTGCAATAAAATCTCTAGGTATAGCTAATTTTGTGTAAAAATCAACATATGCGGAGGGTTACCATTTGTGGTACATCAAGTACTTATTTGTCTTTCTTAAACGATTCAAGTTTACAGGCAGGGGCGGTTTTGGGGGGGGGGCGACAGGGGCGATCGCCCCCCCCCCTAAACATACTACTCAATTGTTTTTTTATTTCATTAGGTTTACATAATAATCGAATCAAATAGACCTAACCACAAACCACCTGACGGAAAAGTAAAATTGAATAAAATAGGTACACAAAATAATGCCGGCGGGGGCGGAATCGTGTATTGTCCATACTGCGACTCACGACTGTACTTTAGCACTATCATTATCGCCTCTCGTATTTTTTCTGCCTTTGTCAGTATTCGGAAATTAATGCGGCAATAGATAGTTTAACAAAAAAACAGCTAAAATTGGGTCAAAGCTACTAAAAAAAAAATCCCGCGCACCTCTGCATCTGCAATTCTGTAATTCTGTAGCTTTTTTATTTTCGCCCCCCCCCCCCCTGAGTGGATGTGTAAAACCGCCCCTGTTTACAGGTTTCATTAGCAACCCCATCCAATAAAATTTAATAAAGAATTAGTGTTCCTCCGTTTTAAAATTTTATCATTTCTAAGCTCCTGTTGTGCCGCAATAGTTTAGTGCCACGTAATAAACATCATCCCTAAGTATAGCTACTTTTACATAAAAATCAAGAATTTCGGAATGCTAATTTCTGTGCTGCATCAAACACTTTTTTTTCGTAATTTATTTGAACTTAAAGACTTCAACAGCAATTACATCATACAAAAAAATGGTAAAAATGCTTTGTTCATTAATTTTGTCAACGTTTTCTTCACTTTTTGTCGTCGAGGAGCGCTCTAAACAGGGTTGGTCTTTATTTGTCAGTTCTCCATTTTTAAAACGGGAAAACTACTCTTAGATTCTGGTCTTACTTAGAGCAGCAACCCCATAAGCAATCTTTAACATTACAATAGCTTCTGCGGCAGATTTCTCCAACAGCAAAACAAAATGTTATCACGATTCGGCGACGCACAACTGTGTACACTGACTCAGGAGACGTGACTCTAACGGACACCTGATGAACAGTGGGTTCCTCCACTTTTTCTCCCCAACGCAGCCCAATATTCCCCTTTACTTTTGGGTCCCCTTAGCTTCCATAGCATAACTTTCTACAAAATTAAATAAAAGATTGGCGTAATCCCCTAATATTGCTTCTTTTGCCATTGAATAACGTTTTCACACAACGCTTCTACGTAAAAATCATGAATTGCGGAGGGTTAACTTCTGTGGTTTATCAAATATTTTTCTTTCTTATAGCTCTTAAGGTTACGTGTTTTATTAGTACTTTAAAGGATGATGCCCATTTTTATGCGGATTACCTACATCACGTTAATAATGTATAACAGATATTTACGATAACCAATGATACTATAAATTGCCGATAAATTACTATATAATTATTGAGTAGTTAACTTCACTCAATGATATAATCAAGTCTCAAACTGAAAATGATCCAGATTTACAAGATATACAAGAAATTCAAAACGGTCCATAGGTACACTATTGATGATGGGGTTCTTTACAGGGGCCATAGATTTGGTCCGTTATTCCAAAAATCATGCAACCAAATTTGTTACAGGCACCTACACATTTAGGTATACCTACCTACAGAAAATGCGAAACAGTTCGCCAAGCGCTATTGTTATTAGAAAAACATTGATAAAGACATTGAAAACCGCGTAAAATCTTGTCGTAAATGGGAATACCCAGCAGAAAGCTGGGACCGTATTCGTTTGGATTATGCAGGACCACATTATTTAGTTTGCATCGATGCAAACTTCAAATGAGCGGAAATTGAAATTCTCAATGAACATCTTACATTTAAAAATACAAGCGAACTTTTACAGCGAATATTCACTTGGAACAGTAACCCAAAAGAAATCGTGTCAGATAATGTAACAGTCTTCACCGCATTGAAGAATTTCTTTGTTTTTGTAAAGACAATGGAATTTATCAAAAACTGATTGCTTATAGTGTAAATACACTATGCTCCTAGTTATCCGGCAACAAACGAATTGGGTGAACGTACTGTACAAGCATTAAAGAATCGATTGAAGGTAGTGGCAAACTTGAGAATCCCATCAGAAATCAAAGTAATGCAAACACAAATGAGATATCAAGCCACACCGCTCGTCGATGATCTAAGTCCAGCAGAAAAATACTTACATGCGAAGTTACGATTTCATTAAGCCAATCCTTAAAAATCAAAAGAAACTTTCAACGACATCTTCTCTTTCACCATCACGTTGTTCTGGCACTACCTTCTACAAGTTAACTTTTAAGAGCGAGGAGACTGGTGTTTTTCATAATATTCTAAAGAATCCAGAATGCATTTGTCAATGTAGGTAATTGTAATAAATAAATGTTTCACGTTGTTCATACAATATCAAAAATTTCTCAGCTCTGAAAACTTGCGACAATTGCATCCCCCTACAAATAGAGTCACCCCTTTAGTAATACTCTTATTATCTTTAATTCAATTAACATTCATATGTGTAATTAGGGATGCTATAATAATAGTTATGAGGTTACCATTTTGAAGCGGCATAATACAAAACCCTTTACAAATTATGATATGGGCTTTGTATTATAACATTGTTTAAAAGTTCAATGATTAGAAGAAATGGAAGATTTGCTAATCTATCATTTAAATACAGTCGATCGAACTAAAGATGATCTTCACGTCACTAGTTTGTGAACCAATTTCAAGTGAGTTCTTTGTTCTTTGTCAACTGTCAACACCTGGTCAAGAGAGAAGATAACAAAAGCTGCACAAACCAGTGACCCAAAGGTCTACTTTGTTCCAAACGACTGAAGGTATTTCTAATATGGGATGTGGTTTTGAGATGACAGGCTTTTATTTACCTGGCAAAACCTCAATGAATGTGAAGGAACAAGTGCAAAGACATGGGATTATGCCCGCTCACATTTTTGTTGACACATTACACGACCATTTAAATACTGATTTGTTATCCAAATGTTCACTAAATTAATTATGTTTCAGGATTTCTTAAATAGGGTAAGTATACATATTCAACGAGGATCTACCGTTAGTATTTTATAAATTTACATTTTGAATTGGTTGACTTTTAATTCCTACATTACGCAGTAAAAGTGGTATGTACTTTACTGTCGCTGTTGAGGGAAGCAGGAATCATGCTAAGGACCAAAGTACATGTTGCAATTTCGAAGGTAGTTATTCTGCTTTGAACATGTCCAATTTCCCAAGATAAATTGAAAAGAACTTCACCTCATCTAAACGATACTTTACAATACACAAAGACGTCCGCTATAAACTGGTAGGTACCAGTAAAATATTTGTGGTACAGGTTTCCGTTCTATTTCAAAACCAGTTAAATAATAAAGATGCTGTAATGTTCCAATTGCAGAAGCTAACCGCACATTTTACCACAACTGACAACATCTTAATTATATAATTTCAATTTAACTGTATAAATTGTAAAACGTCCTAAGGTGCCTTACACAGACTAGCTGTAGATACGTGAATAATGTTCCAGTTTGTTCCACTACTGCTTGTAAGTGCACAATAATTACTGTATACCAAAATGCGCATTCCTAATTTCAGCTTGCAACCGAGGTGCTATGCCAAGCAGGTGGACGTTCGTTTTACAAATTTAGCGGTCCTCTAAGCGGACCAATTCAAAAGATCTTCGTGGACGGTTTACGTGGACCATCCGTCGATTACTTGGTGAGTTTCGCACTTTTTGCGCTTCAATTTTTATTCGAAATTATAGGCCAAGCCGGATTATGCGTATACGTATGGCGTAGACGATCCTGCAACGGGTAACTCGCACTCCAGACACGAGACAAGGGATGGAAATTCAGTAAGTGGTGAATATAGCCTGTTGGAGGCCGATGGAACTGTACGAGTTGTTCGATACACAGCCGACCCTAAAACAGGCTTTCACGCGTCGGTACATTTTCGAAAATCTTAAATAAATTGTTAAGCAATCACTCGATCTGTTATTTGCAAATGGTTTCCTTGTGGAGAACTTTGTATGGTAATCGTTATTTGTTAAGGAAGTTGAACGTGTACGTGAGCTGAAGATGAGAGTAAGCAAACAATCCATGCATAGCTAAGTAACCTACTTTAAATTGATTTATGCTGAAGTCGTTTGTGATTTATGGACGAGTGGCTGGCCATTTCTAATGAAAGTGATTCAAATAAAAGATCTACAGAACAATTTAATTTTGTTCCTTTCGGTGTTTTCCACTGGGGGCGCTTTTTCGCTTTCTGGTAGTCCAGATCTTTTCCCTCTCTTGGCCGTTTCTCCTCGCTTCTTATGCTATATATTTCGTTTAGCGTCGTTTCTCCACGTCTTTAATGAGGGCGACACCCCACCTCTGCGTTTCTGGCATGGGAAGAACAAACTGTAGTTCGCCATTTGGAAAACGTTGGACATATCACCACAGCTGAAGTAAAAACAGCCGTCTTGGCTAAGGGTGACCTCGTCCGTTTGACACCAACGAAAGATGGTGCAGCATTTCAAGCTTACTGAACTTACCACCAAGTTCAGAAGTGGTTGGGGGTGGAAAAAGATGCAACTCAATGGGAATGGCAGAAGACCCAACGTGGGTTCATTCCGACAATTGTGATAAGCGAAGTGGAACCATCCTACCTTCTGACATTTTTATCAAGAAAGGCTGTAGTGGAGACGCCCTCGACAATTATGGGCCGATTTTTCAGGCTGAAAATGTTGAACCATTCACGAAGCGTTCAAAATGAACAATCCTAACCAAAAAAAAACATTATGGAATACAATATTAATAGTTTAAATATAAATTTCTTGTGGATGTGCATGGTTTTTTCTTTGAAACTTCCCTCAAACGATTATAAAACTAATCAGCGCATTTCCACAAAAATAAAAAAAAATGCGCTATTGTGGCCACTTTGTCCGTCCGTCCGTCCGCTACTTTTGCGACGCTACTAGTTCTTTATCTTAAGAGCTATTGTTCTACTTTTTTCGCTATTTGGTTCGTTATGGTGTCGAGTCTTGTACCAAGGAAGGAATTTTTTCTGTACCGCTTACAAAAAAAATTATTGTAAAAAAAAAACAAAAAACCGTTTTTTACATGTTCCATAATTTTACACTTTTGCCGTTTATTAACGATCCTAGAGATCGTTTATAATTTTGCATTGCTATCTGTCGTCTGCATGCTGGTCTGTCCGTCTGTTCCTTTGTCTGTCTGTCCATCTATCTGTCCGTGTGAACGATAACTTTGTTAGAAATGTTCGATCGCTTTTACATCTCCGTTAGTTATGAACTGAATTGCATGAAATTCAATATGGGCATAGCTTTAGCCATATAATACGCAATGCCAAAAGTTAAATCGAATCGATTCAAAATTCACAGTGCCCTTTTCGCATCTCGACCATTTGTAAACCGAATTGCAAACTTTTTTACTTATAAAAGTATTTGAATGAAATTTGATACATAGGCACTTGTAATAAAGGAAAATCAAACGCCAATTTCAAAATTTGGTTTTGCGCATGCGCAGTGCCAACTTTTTTATTTATGGAAGAATTTAAATGAAATGTGATACATAGGCACTTGGAATAAAGGATCATCGACCGCCAGTCTCAAAATTTTCTTTTGCGCATACGCAGTGCCAACTTTTTTATCTATGGCACCATTTAAGTGAAATTTGATACTTAGGCGCTTGGAACAAAGGAAAATCTAACATTAGTTTTAAAATTTAGGTTTGCGCATGCGCAATTCCAACTTTCTTATTTAGAAAAGCATTGAAATGAAATTCTTCTCATAAACTGAAATTGAAGTAACACATCAAAAATGGATTGCCCATGTGCAACGCTATCTTTCATATCTGTGGCCGGATTTTTACGATTTTATCAGAAGTTGCATCTTATAAATGGGAAATGAATGCAAGTGGAAATGCGCTTTATGTAAATCGTTTACGATTACTTTTTAACTTGTTCAGTTTTGTGTTGTTAATTTTTTATATAATATGTGAATAAAGGTCATAACCAACGCAATCTTATGATCAAAATAACTTTGCACGATAAAAATTTTCCTCCAAATCAGAAAAAAGGCAATTACTTTAATTTGAAAAAACGTAGCCCTTTACACTTGAAGCAATTATTATTATTATTATTCAGAAAAGATCCGTGTCGCAAATCACTCTAGTCAGAAGATCAACAGCACTATAGATGAATTAAACAACACGTGTATTTAATTAATCATTGGTACTTAAGAGGTTCGGTACCTAACAAAGTGTAAATTTTATTAGTGGAAATAAGTTGGGAAATAAGGATTTTATAGAGGCGTTCAATTTTTGGGAACCTCTAATAGTTTTCTATCACATGGAAATGTTTCAATGGGGTCATCCCGCCTTCATTTTTTATTTCTGATCCACAAAGTACATTAAAAATTTATTTGCGAGTAAAATAAACCCAAAATAAATTATTTAAAAGCTGTGTTTTTAGTCCGAATTTGAATCGCTTCAGACTAAATACGTCACAAACCTACAACCAATCACGTAGAAGTGAGCTGGCAACCTTGCACGAGGGTCTGACGTTTGTCACATTTGACGTTTTGAGAGGGATGTTTAACTGCATCTAGCCACAGCCGTCTATAATTACAAGCCATGCTGAGAAGTTTGGCAACGTTGTTCGAAAGTCAATCGGTGGGCCGATTTAGTTTTAATGGCGTCTTGTTGCTCTTTAAAAATGGCATTTTCCTCTCTCCTGTGTTTCGCCTTGGCGGTTTTAATATAGAAGAAAGATACTTAGGCATCAGCTTACAATTGTGCATAATAATACATATTATTTATTTACAAAAATGGATAATAACATTTTTATTTGACTTTAAAATTCGGAATGCTGTAAATTGGTAACTGCATCATAATGTGTTTTCCATCGAGATCTCCGAAATTGGTGAACTTCTGTCGAAACAGGTCGAGGTGAAGCACACGCTTGAGCACTTCATTTCGGCAAAAGGACAGTAAATCGCTGAATAATAACTTCTGTTCATTCCGTACGGAGTAACACAAATTGTCGCAATCTCGCTCTGTTAAAACAGGTAAATTGGAATATTACACCCAAAACACATATAAAATACACCCAAAATCTGTCAAGTTGAATTAGGAAATCGGCCTACCATGCAGTGTTGCCATAATTCTCAGCACGGCTTGTAATTATAGACGGCTGTGATCTAGCACGAAAGTGACAAGTGCCTGTGACAGATGAAGCAAGTTATAAATGCCATTCTCCTGCAATATTGCCAAGTCGTTATGTAATCTGAATGGTTCTAGGAGCTGATTGGTCGGGCTTATTACGTCACAGAGCCCGCCACAATCATATCGTGTTGAATAAACCTTTAAAACCGCACATGTTCATTATTTTTTTGCTAATCAGCCTCTATTTTTAAATAAACTTCTACTGTCCAAAAAAATGTTTTATGGTTTCAGGTACACGCTTATTAAATTAGAACTGCGGAATTCAACTATACTGTAAACCCCCATTGTAACGAACTCATTAATTTAAAAAAAAGTCTGCAACCCGAAATACAATTTGTTAAAACATAAAAAGGTTGTAATGATTGATTTGTGCGCGCAAAGTACTTGTTAATTTTTAATAAAAATTACTATAGGTATTTCAAGCGTAGGTAGTCACTGTGTTAGCTGGGATTATAATATGGTTTCACGGTTCAAACTCAAATTTGTATTGCAGGTGCAGGCGTCTTTTTAATGGCAAGCATGAGAGCAAGGCGCTACCACACATTGCTTTACATTTTTGATAAGACTAAACAATACTTTTCCTAGTTTTCCATATGAACACAGAACTTTTCTTACAGTTGGACTTAAGAGGGTTACAGACGATATTTTCTGGAACACTCTCAAAATACCTCGAGCTCCAACAATGAAAATCACATCTTCCTTTCAGTTTATCTTATTGAAATTCTTTTCTATGAGTAGCAAAAAGCAAGCCACTGTATATTTAACCTAGTACCTTTACTTTCCTTGACAGTTTAATTTCATTTTACTGTGTACATTATTTAAAAAAAAGTGTTATGATCGTCATTAGTTTGTATCATTTTTCATCAATGCAACAATGACCGAGATTAGTGAAAACTTGAGAGAGCAATCAGTTTAATAGATGAATTAGTAGGTATCGTTAAAATTTCAGGCTACATTTAAACTTCTATTCCGACTTCAATTTCATTCCTCTCAAACCGAAGGCATCTCGCTTTCGTTTGGTGAACCAACAAAATGAAATACCATCATTAAATTTTAAACTCCCATTAACCTCTAATTTCAGATAATCACTTTAGATGTTAAACATGTAATGGCTTTTACGCAATATTCTTAGCGCTCATTATTTCAGAAATGACGCCTGGCAACTTCAAATGAAGTACCGAAGTATTATAAATTTTTTTAGGACTAATGTTATATAAGCGTCGTTTGTTATGAAAAACTGGTCTCGACTCGGTTATTAAGTAATCAGAGCGTGAAAATGTAGAAGATCAATGTTAGCGATTTGCAAATGCAGAAAACCACACGGCGTTGTTTAACTATTCTATTTTTGACTTCACACATGACTAAATGTGTATCTGCATCCTCTATTGTATTTAGTTCCGATGAAATTAATTAGCGAAGAATTGAGAAACTCTATTGTAAGAGGAGTGATCCTTTCCAATTTTACAGAAAAACTGCAAACAATGGAAACAAAGGGAACTGCCAAATAAACTTTGCCAATATTATTTTCTTACACAGTTTGCACATAATTAATGTGCCGCAGAATTTACGATTGATTGCGTATACCATTATAAGAAAATTCCGAGACGAACTCGAGGAATAATAATTTCGTATTCCTACCTTTTTGCTGGAATGTTTATGATATCTGGCAGGATGCAACATACACAAATAACGATCCATGGCCATGCATATCAATATAACGGCGGACTGTTGACTAATGGCACCCCGCAGCAGAGCCTGAAACAAAGTCACCGATTAAATTCAATGAAAAAATAGATCTGTTATGTTTAGATGTAGATAAAAAGTTCAATAAAGAACCAAATTAAATTCGCGACTGTGTCAGATGTAGTAAACGTTATTGATTTATTTACTTAACGTCAGTATTAACTGTCTTTTCCATAAAATGGTTATTAGCGAAATAAAGCGTCACGTAATCCACTTGATTATCTTGGTTTAAAATACTAATTGTGGGTACTTGTCGATTAACGTTCTGCACAAATGTCTAAGTGCAAGCACAAGTGCATCATTTAAAATTAAATTGTTTTATGGAATTGTAAACTAGGTTTAATTGCTAGCATATTCACGTATCGCAACGGATTTTTCTATTCATAAGAGAAAGCAAGGATGTAGAGCACTTTTTTCCTGTATGAAAACAAGATTCATACTAGAAAAAACCTATTCCTTTCATAGTAAACAACATTTAGGATCATTACTTTCTAGTTCAATAATTGCAATTAAAGAAATGTACTTATGTACATATAAAAGTCAGGAAAATTACACATTACTGGTGAGGAAATATTAAAGTAAGGGACCCCCATTTTATTAATTATAAAACTTAAAATTCCACAACGAATGAGAAAACATCACCAAAACCTTTTGTTTGCTTATCTGTTATGTATGTATAATGTACTTAGTCTTGCTCCCGGGCATAGTGTACGTAGGGCAAAGTACGAACTGAGTGGTGCAAAAAGAACGTACGTAAAATGTACGTACGTAAAACGTAAGTGTACATGAAGTGTACGTCCATAAATTCAGGGTTGTACGTACTATGTACTATGTGCATAGTACGTACTTGTGTTATTTGGGAAGTAGCGTGCGGTTAACTATCAGTTGACTGAATTTTCCGGCGTACTATGTACGTATTAGCACTTCGTACGTTATAGAATTATAGTTTGTTGTCGTACACAACTGCACGTACATCAGACGTACATATTTGTTTCATGAACGTACCTACGTCAAATGGAACAAAAATGTACGTACAGTGGACAATTCGTGCTATTCGCACATATTCAAAATGATGGTGTATGATGTGGGGTATGGCTTAATTTGTTCTCATAATGAGAGACGATGAGGAATTGGGACACCTAAGAGAGCTTTGAATATCTTGGGGAGCAAATGCTATTAAATCTTGTGATTTGGCGCGCATATCAGCAAAAAGCATTATGTTGGCCTGAAGGCACTGTAAGAATAAGACTTTCGTTAAGTTGTATCTGAATTCGAGATTTTTGTTTTCCTTTGACATTTTAGAATGGAGAAATAAATGCCCAAATAGCAAAAGATAATGAACATTTTAATTAATTGCAGCAGAAGCTTAATTTACTATAGTTAGATATAAATTCGTCGGAAAAATGAGCTTTTAAACCTGCAATGCTGGCGATGAGTAGCCCTGGATTGTGGTAACTTTAACACATTAATCTTCAGAGGGGAATACAAGCAAGTTTCCTGCTATAGAGAAAGGTACTTTCAACCTTCTACTACTCTCTAAGAGAAATAGTAGGACAATTCGCACCAGAATAATTCGCTCTCGGACATTTCGCACACGGACAATTCGCACCCGGAAACCATCTGCACTTCCAAAATCAGTGCTCGGTTTAGCTAATCTTACCTTGTCATCGTTGGCCCAGATGCTGGCATTGCATGTTAAACTAAGAGCCGATGGATCCTTTGCTCTTCTCGCTCGACACAGCCATGATGAGCAGTTTTGGAGTTTAAGGTTCTTAGCAAAGAGGTACATGTATCCTTCATAGATTATTTATCTCTTTCCCCTTTTCGTTGTAACGAACTCCGAGCTTTTAGCCTCAGGGACAAGTCCATTTCTGATGATATTTTCTTTGATTTTGGCATTTTAATGTGGCACTTAAATATTTATGTTGGTTAAACAATAGCCATACAATTTGTAGGGGAATAATTTTTTTAATAGTATTTATGAGGCAAGAATTCATACGTACAATCCTATGTACCTTTTTAAATGGAATGGACCATATCAAAGCAGTAGAGATTTTAGGTCACTTTAATAGCATCCATATCACTCAAAATCTGGAATTTAGTACTTATTTTATTGTAATCTCCGTATTAAATATGAGAACACTTGCTAAAGTTACCATGAATGAAAATTTATTTAAAAAAAAAAACAAAAAAAAGGTAAAAAGACACTCATCCGTGATGTAAATTGTCCATGCACTCATGTTCACAAGTAGACGGATGCTGCTAAACGCTGGTATCGGTCTATCGGCAAAACTGTCACCTGACATTTCTTAAACCTATTTACCCAGTTTTATTGTACCAATTCACAATCAAGGTTTTTTTCATTTGGAAACCTTTTAGCACGTACAAATAATATTGCAATACGAATATAAACAATTATTATTTGTTCATAGCTGCAAGTTAAGTTTCCTAGTCCTCTAACCTTCGATGTCGTCCATTTAAAGGACATATAACGAAATACGTATGTATTGTCTTAAAAGAATCTCAAGTAAATTATAATCATATTTGAACGTAAAACAAATAGATTCTTAATAGTTTCCGTAAAATTAAAGAGATAAGAACTGTAAAATAACGAATAAAAGCAAAAAATGTTGATATATATCGTGAAAAAAATTGATCTTGCTATAAATTATATGGCTATTATTTAAATAATATACTAAAATTGTGAAGATCCATGACTCTCAATGGGGTGCTTAAGAAGCTTCGGAGAAATAACACCAAAATCTACCCATTTATTATTATAACAATTTTTATGGGGAGATTTTGGTGTTATTTCTACGAAGCTAAATAATATACGGTGGTGCATTAGAAACGATACACAGCTATTTATGTAAATTAAAATAATTTTCAAAAAACGCTTTGGCACGTCAAATTGATCATGGAAGGAAACAGTGTCTAAAATAAAACTTGCTCACTAATGTCTTTGTCTCGCATCGCTGACAGTGCAACCCTTAAAATCTTAAATGATGCATAGTTGGTAAGGTCGCCCATCTGTGAATTCGGATATGTAATTTTTTGGTTTAGTTGTTTCATTTCCAGCGCATTTGACGTTGCAGGTACAAGTTTTCTCTTTTTTATACCACTTGCAACTGCATAATTTTGACGCACGATCGCATTAGCTTCTATTACATAGTGATCGGCCCCACATCCTTCCAATGATATAAACAACAGCGCGTCCTCAACTTACTTTAAAAATATCTCGAAAATATCGAATCTAAAAAATTATAGTTTCACCAAATTCAGAGAAGGAAAGCCTTTCCAATGATGTCCTATCTTCCTTGTTGCGCAATTACCAATGCTAAGGGTTTTGCTTTAGTATTAGGTATGCCATACAAAAATTAAAAAGGAAGTATATAGGTACTTAATAATTACAAACATTTAAAAGAAAAAATCATCAATATCGACCTGTTCCTAAAACGTTTCAAGATTTTTAAAAGCTTTACTGTTTTGATTATTAACAATCTCTTTAAAAAATGCCAGAATTTTTCCATGTATCTCTTCAAACTATAAAATAAATAACAGTAAGAAAATCAAAAAGAAACTTTTAAGTTCATTCACTACCATAGTTGTAGCAAAGATAACGCAAAAAATTAGCAGTTAGTGTAATTTTACTCAGTCACCAATAATCAACATATAGCCATATGTGGTCAAAGTGGTAAAACTGGTTCTAAGAAAACGGGAAACTTACCTTTTCTGAACACCACCACAACACTACCACCAGAAATAAAATTTTTTTAAATTAAAAAAAAAGTATACACAAATTCAAAACCCGTTTTAAAATACCACTCTGTCAAACGTTCAAGAATGAAGATACTATACAGGCGTTAAAGTTCTAATTAGTTGTGGTCATACGTACTTAAACCTGATTTTTCGGACCTAATTACTTTTACCTTGTAATAAACCCTATTCATCTTCCAGAAATAATAGAAAGGATGTCATTACGATATTTCTCTTATTGTTTCTTTATGAAGTGCAATTTGTGTTATCGGGGTCTTTTCAAATTTACCTTTAATTCTAATATTATCTTAATTACTTATCCAAATTTAGTGCCATCTATGAAATGCATTGTCCTATTATCATTTATTCATACTAGTTTTATCTAAAATAAATTTAATTCATTTCCTTTGTCACCCTTTTCAACTAAAGAAATAAAGAACAATTTTTTATGTGTCTTCATTAAGAAATCTTTATGTAAGGGAGCGCTAAAATTACTTCCTTTTTCTATTTTCATCTTGATCTTATAATGTAAATATTTTTAACTTTAGACTTATCACTTTGTTTGTGTGCGGTATTATATGTTGATTCTGTTTTAATATTAAGAGCGTCTCAAAAGTAGCGAATATTACACATAATATTGTACATACAGGGTGACAATTTGAAAACTTACCACCCCCCATATCTTAGTAAATAAACGAGATATTTAAAAAAATCAAAATCCGTTTCGGTAATTCGGAGGGGGAATCACAATGACATAGTTGGCGACGCACCCCCTCCAACCCCCTGCGCCCCAGCCACCCCAACTTTTAAATCTTAAATAGTGACCCCCCATGTGTGATACGTCGTTGGAAAGCTCTGAAAAAATGCTTTCCAGCCATACCAAATAGCATTACATTTAGGTTAGTAATTATCGTGCAAATCAAAAAATAAACTAATATGATACATTTGAAATCTGTCGTATTTAAAACGCAACCGGCGAACATAGACGAACTAAGACAGAGAATAATTCAAGAATGTCGAAATATTGCAAAACCAACATTGGAAAGGTTCGACAAGAGTTTGAGAATAGATTATAACTGGCGATCAAAAATGAGTTGCTGTCGAGTCGGCTTTGGAAGTTCAAGTTAAATACGATTTTCCATGTTTATTTTTTGATTTGCACGATAATTACTAACCTAAATGTAATGCTATTTGGTATGGTTGGAAAGCATTTTTTCAGAGCTTTCCAACGACGTATCACACATGGGGGGTCACTA